CAGTGGAAGTGTGTACTGTGGTCTGTTACTGTTCCAACTTAATGTTGCAAGAACCAAAATTGGAATATGTATATATTAAAAAAAAATACAAATAATGAAGAACACATTAAATAATAGTAGGTGTATTGTGTGCAATGAAATACATGTCAAAATTAATTTTGACATCACTAAATTTTAATTTTAGTTTAATGTTTTTTAAATTATTATAATTTTCAATACTGTGCCAAATTTTTTTGATTTGGGGTTGGGGATATACAGGGGTTGGACAATAAAACTGAAACCGTCAAAGCTCTTTCTGTTTACATTGTATTTGTCTATATTTATTTTGTGTCTGAGCACATGGCTCAACCTATGCTTGTGTCTGCCATGTGCTTCTCTGTTTCTCCCTCGTTTTCAGCTGCCACATCCTCTTGTTTAGCTCATCTACTGTACTTCTTGTTAGTCTCAGTAGCCTCACTTCCTACCTTTATATTTCAGCAAGTTAACTTATCTTCTCTCTGCATTTTATTTCCTACAGTTTAATATTTACTTTTGGTTTTATTTTATTTTGTTGTTTTATTTCTTAGTTTAGATGCCCCTGTCAGTTTTTGTGTTTTTTGTGCTTGTCTATTGCCTCAGTCTAGCCCTGGCCACTGTGAGTCCTTGGCTGCTGGTGTCCTCCATCAGGCTGCCACTGGGGAGACAACTACACTCAGTATCACTGTTATACATGGCCCATTTCAAGGCCTTGACCTCATAATACCTGGCCTGACCTTCTCTGCTCTGTCTGCTAGCCTCCCAGCACTTTTGACTGCTCCTTCCAAGGCACTCTAGCACTTCCCCTTTCATCTGTTTGCTCCTTCCAGGACTTGCCAGCACTAACCCATGCATCACCTATTTAACTGTTCCCTAATTAACCCCTATTTCATATAACTTTGTCAATGAATACCCCCTGCACTCATTCTGCATTTGGGTCATCCTTCCTTATCCTGTGACAGGCCAAAACCTGGACCCAGCAGCCTCACTGCTCTATTTTCCATTGCTCTAGAGAGACTGGCAGCATTGTGACAGCAGTGGTGGGAAATGCCTTGAACCCTGGTAAGCTACTTACCCTGCTACCTGCTACCAACCCACCCTCCCTTCCCAGTCTAGTTAAGTCCAAGACTATTTTTCCTTTCCCACATTGAAGCCATGGGCTTTCAGAGAGCCGGTGGTTCAGCTAGCTGCATCGCTGTGTGACCACATCATCTCTGTGAAAGCTCTATTTAGGAAAGTTTCCCCTAAGCCAGTCAAGTCCACCACACTCAAATCTGAAACATATGAATGTCTGTATTATTACCCTCAAGTCTGTTAAATCTATCACTGCTTTTCAGTTTATTAACCCTGATCCTATGTTACAGCTTACTGTGATTGTTCCTGTCTCTGAGTTGATGTGTTTCTGGCCACTTCACCTAAATCCTCCAAGTTTGCTGCCGATACTACAGAGGCCAAGTGTGCAGTTTCCACCCATCTTAAGTGAAGGAAAAGGAAGCATGCCCCATAGTCAGCTGCTTCTCAACTCCGTAGTCTTTGTGTCCCCACTGATCCAAGTGTTATCAACCCTTCCTTATAATATGTTCTTGTTGTGTCCACTGATATCTGTTATGTTAAGATTAACAGTCATATTTCGTCCACAGAGGCCATCTCTGAGTAACCTGCTGTATCTGACTTCCCAGAATCTGTTTTTAAGCAGTCTGCTCACAGTGTTCTGGTCATGCAAGCCATGCCTGGGGCTCTTAGTCTGCCCGGTATGGCCACTGGCCACAGAGGCAAGCACAGAGTACCCTGCTCTCCCTATCACAGCTGATGAGGTCAGTCCCGAGCAGTCCTTTGACTTTGCAGCAGTTATATGCCAGTCTTGCCAAGTCTGTTGATGAGTTCCTGGCACTCCTCACCAATGCTATTAAGAGTGCATTTCCTGTATCCAATCCAGAAAGGGTTCCCCCAGAGGCTGCTTGTAGAGTACCTACAGGGCCTGCTCCTACTCTAGAGAGAGTAGCTCTTGAGCACAGCATAGTGCCAACATTACCCACTGAGTGTATTCAGAAGATTCCCCAGTCCCCAAGCACTGTGAGATGAAGACTTAAGTCCAAGAGTCTGCTCATGCCCCTACGAGAGACTTCTCAAGGTTGTCTTCAGCCCCTATCGAGAATCAGAAGAGGACTCCAATCTTCAAATCAAAACTTCAACTCCTGAACACAGTGCAGTGCCGACTTTGACCCCTGAGTGTTTTGCAGAGATAGTTTCAGTCCACAAGTTATTTCTCATGAACTCTGTCCGGTTCCTGTTCCAGTCCTTAAACCAGTGCTTGTTACCCCTGAACATAGTCTAGTTTCCACTCTGGTCAATTAATCTGTTTCTGCTGCCTCTGATCACAGTCTTGTCTCCACTCCTGTACCTGAGCACAGTCTAGTCTCAACTTCTTCCCCAGAGTCAGTTCCAGCAGCCCTGGAGGGCTCCTCAGATTCAAACCCTGAGTCAGTTCCTGCAGCCCCGGAGGGCCCCCCCTAGATGTGTTCCATACTTCAAGCCTTGGTTCAAGTCTCCCTCTATCATCTCTTTCCCTAGATGACTCGTTGTTCCCCCCTTCATGTTGTCTAGACCTTCCAGTTTACCTGATCTGTCACCCCTAAACCATCCTAGTTTTTACGTCCTTGTTCCAGCCCTTCTGAGCTTAGGCTACCTGAATCCTCCCAGTCTTGCTTTCCACCCATGCCCCTAGTTTGTTTCCCCTGGCTTTTCTGTTACACCATGTCTTCCCTCGTGTCTTTGTATTTTCATTGTTACATGTTGGTGGTTGTTGGTTCTCTGAGTCTGTGCTGTGAGCCCTGTGTTCCTGAGCCTTTCGGGTCTTCCTAATACTATTTTCCTTTTTTATTTAAGTATTTATGTCCCTTGTCTTGTTTATTTATTATTGTAGCTTTAATGTTTAGTTTATTGGTTTTATATTATCCCCCCTTTTTGTTTCAGTAAGTTAACCTATTTTTTCTTTGCATTTTATTTCCTACAGTTTAATGTTTCCTTTTTGTTTTGTTATTTTAGCTTATTGATTTATTTCTTAGTGTAGTTCTCCCTTGTTGAGTAAGTGAAAAGCGGGGGTTGGGAGGGATAGGGGTGCTGTAGGTAAAGGCTGGTATTGCAGGTGATACTTTAGACCTCAGAGGGTTAACTGGCTGTGGTGTCGTACACAACACAAAACGTATGGAAAACACAACACATGCTACTTCCTTTACCAATTTAAACAGGATTCTGATCTTGCACTCCTGTGGCTTCTGTCATTGATGGCCACTATCAGCTTTTCTTGTACACCAGACATAGAAGGCACTGTATTTGTTTTTATTTCAGTGGTTTAAGCCATGTCAACAAAACCGCAACTCCTACAAGCTTGTGCAGATGGCACACCATTGTCAATGTTCAAAATAGTACAATTAAAACTGAAGGCATGTTGTTGTCATAGTTTGTAGTTATGGTTAAGAATAGAGCAATGTGATAGTATTTATCTCCATTGATTTAATAGTTTTCAGCACTGGGTCCACTCTGTACCATAGCAGCCTGTGCGTCAACTTTGTCTTAATAAGCCATGATGGGTGTTTAATTTTCAACTCGCACTGCATGCAGTAGACCAGTCACAACAATCACTGCAGATTAGCATCACAGAAAGGAGGGTTTAGGAAAAAAAACAATCCTTAAACAAATTATATTAGTTTTGGGATAATTAGGTCTATTATCATGTAATGTATTATGTTTGTTGCAGGTGTTGTACTCTTTTACTGAAATAAAAATTAATCAAAAAAACTTTAGAAAGTTGTATTTTAAAATCATGAGGGAACACATGGCAAATTATTTTTCTGGACTTTAAAATAATTCCTGCACTACTCTATACTTTTTAAACATCTGAACTTTAAGTGTTATGAACATTTTACAATAAGGTTCCATTAGTTAATGTGTTTCATACATGAACAATGAACAAAACTTTTATTAATTATTACTCATATGGGTTTCATAGTACTTGAAAGCCATAATTTAATAAAACTAAAGATATCTTACTATAAAATCACTTTGACAATGTTAAAGTCACTGTTTAGATTTTTACATGAGTAAAACCTCTAAAAGTATCTGAAATAATTGTATCTAAAATAATATTAAGAAGAGAAATTTCCCAGAGATGGATGCTGGAAGGGCATCCGCTGCCTAAAAACGTGCTGGATAAGTTCATTCTGCTGTGGCGACCCCAGATTAATAAAGGGACTAAGCCGAAAAAAAAAAGAATAAATTAATAATAATAATAATAAAGGTTTATTTGAAAAATAAAGTTTTACATAAAAAAATATTTTAAATTTAAAATACTTTTAGACACCCTCGACTGCTGAATTTGCACTTTATTTCAATACATTTCTTGACATGAGAGGGTGAGTTTTTAAACATCAATATTTCTGTATATTTCTCAAAAATAAGGCCAGGGTTGTTCTAGGGGCCCCACTGCTGTTGTTTGTAGCAGGAGTAACAGTTGCCACCATCAAGTATTATCAATTACTTGCTAGATGAATGGGCTTGTTTGGAAAATGAAATGAATTGCAGAAGTTGTGATCACTCAATTGCACAAGTGCAAGCAAATTTAAATAATGCAGCAGAGAAAAGTTTCGGAGTAAAAGTATAGAATTTTTAAAATAATTGTAGTTGATTAAAACTGAAAGTTGTCAGGAAAAAAGTACACATATACATATATACTCTCAAAAATACAAACAGTATTTTCATTCTTAGTTTATTTTACCATATAGGTTAACTTACATTAACCAATATAACCTTATTGTAAACTGTGAAATTTTTTTTACAATTTCAAATAGGGATTTTTGTAATAATAATAAAAGTCATGGCACATGAGTGCCCTTTTATTTGATTTTGTATATTTTGTTGCTGTAAATTTTAAAACTGTAAAAATGTATTTTTTGACACTTCTGATGTTTGTGGTGGTTGAATATCAGGTCCTGGTTTGGCATTTTTGGCCTATCCTCAAGCTGTCACACAGCTTCCCATGTCTTCACTCTGGGCTATTCTCTTCTTCTCAATGCTCATGATGCTGGGGTTGGACAGTCAGGTATTATACACACATACAAATTCAGCGCATACAAATTAGTAGCTTTAAAAACAGCAATATCCATTTTATCCATCATGTAAGAAAATATTAAATATTTATAAACTTTTTAAATATCTGATTTATATTAAGGTTTATACTATTATACTAGGAACACAAATCATATTTTTAAAAAAATAACTGACTAATAAATTTGCAAAAAATAAATGTTTTTTTTTTTTTGGGGGGGGGGGGGGGGGGTCCAATAAGATTTTTTTTTTAAGTCTCTAAACCACAAAATCACTGCATGACTTTTTTTGTGTTTTTGTGAATTTTGTGTTGTTGTGACAGTTTTGTACAGTGGAAGGCTTCATCACTGCTTTAATGGATGAATATCCTACAGTCCTAAGGAAGAGAAAAAAAATCTTCATCCTAATTGTCTGCCTTGTGTCATTCATCATTGGATTCTCCAACATTACCCAGGTAAATATAACTACAGTAGCTGAAAACACCAGTTTAAAGAATGAGACAGCAATGCATGTGTCAGTGTTATGTTCAGTTTTGGTATACTTTTTATGAGTACTGTGTTAAATTTTGAATTTGGTAGTAAATTAGTTCCCTCTCAGTTGGTCAGCCTGAGTTATGAAAGAACGGCAGATTGGGCAAATCACTCTGAAATGTATGCTAAAGGGCCAATGAAATGCCTATAGAATTGTGAGTGCAATCTTACAAGTGCACTCTCTCCGCATTTAGGAGTTTATAAGGAGCACATGTGAGACAGCACTTCAGACTTGTCTTCAGAGCCATTCACACCTCTGAAAAGATCCTAACTATTACTGAGCTCCTGACTTCCAGAGTTCCAATGTTCTTCAGTTTGCAAGGGTGTGTAATGGTGCAACAGTGGTCAAGCTGGGATCTTTTTCCTCTCCCTGTGTGCTTCTTTGGCAACTATAAAAAGCAGTTTTCACAAAGAGAGCAACATGGTCTGCAAACACACTTTTCTAATCATGTCAAACTGATTGTGTGTTTCTGGATGCAGTAGTTTCCAGTTGGATAACAGTCAAGGTTTCTGTATTTCATGTATGGCAGTCTAGCATGTAGACACTGCTCTTGTGAGAAGTTTATCCCCACACTCACTGTTGCATCTTGGTGAGCACTCCCACTACTAGAGCACACAATGTATAGGCTTCATTATCTATCAGGATGGCCATCACTTTCTTAGAAGGGTGAGCTGTCATTTTCTTGAGGAGAGTCTTGGTTTGCACCCTACAGGGTGCCTGTGACCTAGAACCTTAAATAAGATATGATAGCTGTGTCTTACTAGGTGGCCTCAGTTGTTGTGATTGGAGGATCCTGACTGAGTAGATGGGTACTATGTGGAGGATAAAAGGAGAGATGTAGAACACTCTCGGTTTCCTAGATATCCCCTGTATCCTGGAGAAGGATGAAGTGCTCCCAGTCTTCAAGCTCTTCCACCCTCACTGTCCGCAAGCTGCCACCACCTGGAGAGGTAAGCTCCTGGACAAAGCTTTTCTGCATCCCTCACTACCATAGCCTACACTGCTGCCATCACTGCCATGGCCACATACCATCAGTACAAGACCTGGCCAAGCTGCGCTATCACGGTCCCTCCCCAGTCATCATGTGTGACCTCTGCACAGATCTTGACCATGTTCTCTGCACCGCCATGTCATCCACTATTGTCAGATGACACAAGTTTCCCTGAGGCATGCCAACAAGAGATGAGTGGAGCTACTCCTGCTTTAAAAACATTGCAGTGCAATAAAAGAGCATTTTAAATAAAGCATTTTGTTCTCTCTTTGGGTGTGAACTCTTGAGTGTTGCCAGTATGGGACAGGCTGCCTTCCAGTTCACAACCACAACACAGTTCACTATGGCTCTGAATAGGTCAGAGGACAGGTTAATTTCCCTCATGCCTCCAGCTTCTCCACAGGATTCTGGAAGTATGGTAGGAGCTGCAGTCTCTTCTTCTACTTTTCCTTGAGATGCACTCCATGCTTCCATTTTGCAACAAGCATGCAGCTGCTGGTTCGTAGACTGAACCATGGCTACATTGCTATTGCCTGGAACTGTTGGCATTGTTTCATGCTGTCCGCCGGTCCCCCTCCAGTGCAGGAAGCAATATGCATACTGGTCTGGATGAACTGTATGTTGGTGGTTACTTATTTAAACCACCCGGAGGGCATAGACTTTAGCTGCATTTATTATTTTATAATGTTATACAATTGCATACTGTCCACATCCTTGCCCAGCTTAACCATGCAGCAGACAGGTTCTTGTGGCATCTTACATTCCTAGGAGAATGGTGACTCTACCCTTGCAGAGTCCAGCTAATTTTAGAGAAGCCCAGGCCAACCTGTTTACCTCTATGGATTTCACCCATTGCAAATGTCTCATTTCCTGAATAAGGTTTCCGTCCACACAGATGTGATGGCACATAGTTGGCTGCAGGGCATGTGCATATACAGTGGGTATGGAAAGTATTCAGAACATCTTAAATGTTTTACTCTGTGCCATTGCAGCCATATTGCATATTGCAGCCATTAGCTAAAATCATTACCCCATATTGACAGAAAAACACAGAATTTTTTATGTTTTTGCAGATTTATTAAAAAAGAATAACTGAAACATCACATGGTTTGAAGTATACAGACTCTTTGCTCAGTATTTAGTAGAAGCACCTCTTTTATCTAATACAGCCATGAGTCTTTTTGAGAAACATGCAAGTTTTTTACCCCTGAATTTGGGCACCTGCTGCCATTCCTCCTTGCAGATCCAGTTCTGTGAAGTTGTATGGTAAACGTTTGTGGACAGCCATTTTTGGGTTGCTCCATAGATACTCAATTGGGTTTTAGTAAGGGATCTAGCTGGCCATTCAAGAACAGTCACGAAGTTGTTGTGAAGCCACTCCTTTGTTATTTTAGCTGCATGCTTAGAATCATTAACTGTTCGGAAGGTTAATCTTTGACCAAGTATGAGGTCCTGAGCACTCTGGAGAAGGTTTTCATCCAGATTATACCTGTACTTGGCCACATTCATCTTTCCCTCGATTCATTCTGTCCCTGCAGCTGAAAAATACACCATAACATGACGCTGCCACTTCACTGTTGGGAGTGTATTAGACAGGTGATGAGCAGTGCCTGGTTTTCTCCTCGCATACAACTTAGAAATAAAGACATGAAGTTCTATCTTGGTCTCACCAGACTGTATTTCCAATATAAAAAGTAATTTTGGACTGGATTTTTTTAACCTTATATCACAGTCTTGGACATGTGAAAGATTAGTAAGAACATTGCCCTTGATGCATTGTTAGTTTTTGTGCAGCAAAAGATTTTCAGTTTTGCTCCCTAACTGTTGGCTGTTTTTGGCCCATTGACTTCCATTATAACCACTTTTTGTTATTACAAAACCCTGACACCATATTATCATGCATTTTTTATTGTTGCTGGATGTTCCTGTAGGGAAGAGGTCAAATTTGTCATTTTTACTGTTGATCATCAATTGGCATTAATGACCCTTCAGATAGGCCTGTACCAAAAAAAAAAGCTTAGATTCTCAATTTTATATGGAGTACAACAGCAAATTAAAGTGTGTGTATTGGTGTCTGTAAATGTGTGAGAGTGACCTTTGCACACTTATTGACCTTTTCAGACTTATTGTGTGTAATGTGTTTGAAAAACCAAATATGCATATCGGTTATCAGAACTACATGGAGTACACAAGATCAAAAAGAAGTCATTCATTCATTCATTTTCTTGTCGGCTTAGTCTTTATTAAGCCGACAAGAGCCTATTAAGCCTTTATTAATCCAGAGTCGCCACAGCGGAATGAACCTCCAACTTATCCAGCAAGTTTTTACGCAGCGGATGCCCTTCCAGCCGCAACCCATCTCTGGGAATCATCCACACACACACTCATACACTAAGGACAATTTAGCCTACCCAATTCACCTGTATCGTATGTCTTTGGACTGTGGGGGAAACCGGAGTACCCGGAGGAAACCCAAGCAAAGGCAGGGAGAACATGCAAACTCCACACAGAAACGCCAACTGAGGCGAGGTTCGAACCAGCGACCTTCTTGCTGTGAGGCGACAGCACTACCTACTGCGTCACTGCCTCGCTACAAAGAGAAGTACAAACTAAAAAAAAAAAAAAAACGAGGTAAGTGGATTTGCATGCCATTCTGCTGGTTATTTGCTGGTGTGAAGAGCAGCAAGCAACAGGATAAAGGGATTTCACTTGTACCAAAGTTTAAAAAATGGTTATGGAGCCTGACCCCTCCAGCGAGCTGAAGGATATATTGTCTTCTCCCTCTGACACTACAGACTCAGAAGGGTCAGATCCTGATTTTGTTGTCAGCATGACCAACCTTCATGGACGTTGCACGATGAGAAACTGGACAAGGGTGTCATACACAGATCTTCCTGCCTACATGGGACTACTGATTTTTTTTTTATCCAGCATTAAAACAGGTCCAAAGTGGAGTCCACGTTATTTTTTTTTCTTGACAAGTAAGAAATCAATACTAGATTAATTAATTTAGTTAATTAATCTCTGGGTGGCGAGGCAGTGGCGCAGTAGGTAGTGCTGTCGCCTCACAGCAAGAAGGTCGGTGGTTCGAACCTTGGCTCAGTTGGTGTTTCTGTGTGGAGTTTGCATGTTCTCCCTCCCTTCGTGTGGGATTCTTCCGGGTGCTCCGGTTTCCCCCACAGTCCAAAGATATGCGGTACAGGTGAATTGAGTAGGCTAAATTGTCCGTAGTGTTTGAGTGTGTGTGTGAATGTGTGTGTGGATGTTTCCCAGAAATGGGTTGCAGCTGGAAGGGCATCTGCTGCGTAAAAACTGGCTGGAGAAGTCGGCGGTTCGTTCCGCTGTTGTGACCCCAGATTAATAATGGGACTAAGCCGACAAGAAAATGAATGAATGAATAAATGAATCTCTGCAGCGGCCGCAACCCATCTCTATGAAACATCCACACACACACTCATCCACTACGGACAATTAAGCCTACCCAATTAACCTGTACCACATGTCTTTGGACTGTGGGGGAAACCGGAGCACTCGGAGGACACCCACGCAAAGGCTGTGAGAACATGCAAACTCCACACAGAAACGCCAACTGAGCCGAGGTTTGAACCAGCAACCCAGCAACTTTCTTGCTGTGAGGCGACAGCACTACCTACTGCGCCCCTGCCTCGCCCTTAAACATGTTTATTGAATTATTAATTACTTGTTTTTTTTGGCATTGTGTTTATCAAGGCCAGGTTTTTCATGTGCGTGTGTGTGTGTCTTGTGTTTCCCTTCGTTATTTCTGCTTTGAAATCCTGATCTGTTCCTGCCATGGATGCTTTCTCAGTGACATGGCGAGCCACCCTCTCTAAAAAGATTGCACCTGGAAGTAAACTGATCCGTTGTTCAATGAACTGGTATAATAAAACATAATCTGCATCCATTATTACTTA